ATTCTTGGCTCATGGGCCCCCACCTTCAATGTTCTGCCTTTGTAGGGTTATTGGGAACTGTTGAGAGGGTGGTTTTATTTTCTCAATTAATTTCATTTCTTTCTCCCCTCCCTCCCACCTTGCCTTCCTTCCTTTTTTTTTAATTTCTTTTTTCTTCTTCCTGGTCCTGGGCCTTGAACTCTTGGCTGGGCATTATCCCTAAGTTCCTCAAGGCTAGCAGTTTACCACTTGAGCTACAGCACCAATTCCAGCTTTTTCTGTGAGCCTTGAGCAAAAAAGCTCAGGGGCAGTGCCCAGATCCTGAGTTCAAGCCCCATGACTGACCAAAAAAAAAATATATACATCAGAAATCAAGGATCGGGGCTGGGAAGGTGGCTCAGTGGTAGAGCGCTTGCCTTGCATGCCTGAGGCCCTGGGTTCGATTCCTCAGCACCACATAAGCAAAAAGAAAAAAGCCAGAAGTGGCACTGTGGCTCAAGTGGTAGAGTGCTAGCCTTGAGCTGAAGAGCTGAGGGACAGCGCCGAAGCCCAGAGTTCAGGCCCCACGACTTGACCCCCCCCCAAAAAAAGAAATCAAGGATCATCTGTATTAGTAACAATAAATAGATGTAAGGGAGTACTGCAGGGTTAAGACACATACTGAGACTGAGAGAGATCCTGAGTTTAATTCACAGCACCAAAAGCTCCTCAGAAACCAATAATATAAACAAGTCCAAAGAAAACTCTCCCCAGATAGCCCCAAGCAACCAACAAATACTAGCATTTCCTATTTTTTTATTTGCACTGGTTAATTGTACAAAGTGTGATATCACTGCAACATTTCCACACACTGCATGTAATGTACTCTGTCCAAACGTATCCCTTCTATTTCTCTTTCTTATTCTCTCTCCTTTCACCCCTCCTTTTCTTGAAAGTCTAAGCGTTTATTCTTTTTTTTTTTTTTTGTCCGTCATGGGGCTTGAACTCTGGGCTTGGGCGCTGTCCCTGTGCTCTTCAGCTCAAGGCGAGCGCTCTATTGCTTAAGCCATTGTGCCACTTCCGGTTTTCTATTGGTTTATTGGAGATAAGAGTCTCATGGAGTTTCCTGCCTGGGCTGGCTTTGAACCATGATCCTCAGATCTCAGCCTCCTGAATAGCTAGGATTACAGGTGTGAGTCACCGATGCCCGGCTTCTTTTTATTATTATTTTAAAAATGTTATTGTTGGGTTCTGGTGGCTCATGCCTGCAATTCTAGCTACTCAGGAGGATCTGAGGATCACAGTTTGAGGCCAGCCTGGGCGTGAAAGTCCATGAGACTTTTATCTCCAATAAACCACCAAAAAAGCATAAGTGGCGCTGTGGCTCAAAGTTGTAGAGCACTAGCCTTGAGCATAAAAGCTCAGGGACAGTGCCCAGGCCCTAAGTTCAAGCCCCATGATCAACAAAAAGGAAAATGTTATTATGAAGGTGATATTCAGGGCTGGGAATGTGTCTTAGCGGTAGAGTGCTTGCCTAGCATGCATGAAGCCCTGGGTTCGATTCCTCAGTACCACATACACAGAAAAAGCCATAAATGGTGCTGAGGCTCAAGTGGTAGAGTGCTAGCCTTGAGCACAGAGAGGCTCAGCGACAGTGCTCAGGCCCTGAGTTCAAGTCCCAGGACTGCCCCTTCCCCGAAAAGATGCTATACAGGAGGCTTGAAGTGAACATCAAGGAATGAGCGCATTTCTTTTTGGATAATGTCACCCCTACCTTTGCTCTCTTCCAGTTCCTCCAAGCCCTTAAAAAGTTTTATTGGGGGCTGGGAAAATGGCTCAGTGGTAAAGGGCTTGCCTTGCATGCCTGAGGCCCTGGGTTGGATTCCTCAGCACCACATTAAAAAAAGCCGGAAGTGGTGCTGTGGCTCAAGGGGTAGAGTGCTAGCCTTGAGCTGAAGAGCTGAGGGACAGCGCCCAGGCCCAGAGTTCAGGCCCCACGACTTGACCCCCCCAAAAAAAGTTTTATTGGGTTTGATCATTTAAAAAAATAGTTCTGTGTCTGATATGTTCATATGAAATGGATTTGGGGAATAGGAAATGGAGTAGGAGTGTGCTCAGTTGGCTTTAGGCATTGACCTGGTATTGTTCTACTTCCCAAAATGGTGCACCATCATACCACCACAATTACAACCATATCATCTCCCTTGAGTGATTACAGAGTAACATTTCTTCATTGGAACGGGAGGCTGGGTTAAGACTAGGGGGTTCAGTGCTTAGAGAAGCATTCAAGATCCTTTCTTCTTGAAAGGATGCACTACACTAAGGAGATCCAATCATATATGGGTTTAATCAGGGAAGGCTTCCTGTAAGAGGAAACTTGAGGTCAAACAGAACTTCCGACAAGGCAAAAGAATGGCGTGAGGACGAGAAGAGTAACCAGAAGAATTTTTATTTTCATAGACCAGAATGGGCACAACAAAGTGGTATTTCTGTTCTTTTCTTTCTTTTGTGTCGCACGTGGGGCTTGAACTCTGGACCTGGGTGCTGTCCCTGAGCTTTTCAGTTCAAAGCAAGTGCTCTACCACTTAAGTCACAGCACCACTTTCAGTTTTCTGGTGGTTAATTGGAGATAAAGAGTCTCAGGGACTTTCCTGCCCAGGGCTGGCTTTGAACTTCAATCCTCAGATCTCAGCCTCCTGTGTAGCTAGGATTACAGGCGTGAGCCAATGGTGCCTGGCTCTGAAGTGGTATTTCTAAAAGAGCAGTAATACAGGTTATAGAACATCTGCACAAGGGAAGATTTTTGTAGCTGTTTGACTAAGGACAGTTGCTTCTATTTTTGTAAACTCTTGGAGAGAAGCCTTCGCTGGCAAGGAAGGAAGGAAGCTGCCAACACCCTTCTCTGTTCATCTCAGCTGTTCTATCAAACACATCTTTTCTAGAGGGAGATGGAGAAGAAAACTGGGGAAGAGGAGAAGGTCCTGAGTAAATAGCCCGCCATCCCTGTCTGTAAAACAGCAGTAAACATGGCCACAACAGAACGTTTGCTGGGAGAATATATGGAGGCACCTGTCTGATGTCAGGTCTCCACGCAAGGTCTTTTTAATTTGTTTTTAACGATCACAATATGAAACACGGTGTCTTGTGCACTCTGAGAGTATGGTGTACTACCAAGCGACACTCCTCATCCCCCATTGAAACTTTATTAATGGCTGCTCCATAGAAGAAGGAGACAGCTGTCAGGTGGGAGGAGCAGGTGGCCATTATTAGTATTTTAAATAATAGCTGACAAGAAGCCCCATGACCTATTTCTTCACAGTGTCTGAGTGTACAAAGTCCTTCTTCCCTTTCCCTCCATAAAAAATTGGAAGCTCACGCCTGTAATCCTAGCTGCTCAAGTGGCTGAGATCTGAGGATCTCAGTTTGAAGTCAGCCAAAGGCAGGGAAGTCTGAAACTCTTATCTCCAATAAAGCACTCAGAAAAAGCTGCAAGTGGTAGAGCACTAGCCTTGAGGACAGAGAGGCTCAGGCACAGTGTCTAGGCCCTGAGTTCAAGTGGCAGGACTGGGAGGTGGGCAAGATTGGAGAAAAGGCCATTGATTCACCTGACGGACTAAGAGTTTACAAAGTTCTTTCTAATCCCTGAAAGTATCATGACTTTGGCACTGGCTTCTTTTTTTTTTTTTTTGCCAGTCCTGGGGCTTGAACTCAGGGTCTGGGCACTGTCCCTGAGCTTCTTTTACTCAAGGCTAGTGCTCTACCACTTGAGCCACAGTGCCACTTCTGCCATATTCTGTTTATATTGTGCTGAAGAATCAAACCCCAGGGCTTTATGCTTGCCAGGCAAGCACTCTACCACTAAGCCATGTTCCCAGTCTTCCCTTAGCTGCTTCTTCTTCTTCTTCTTTTTTTTTTTTTGGTCAGTCATGGGGCTTGAACTCTGGGTCCGGGTGCTGTCCCTGAGCATATCAGCTCAAGACAAGCACTCTACCACTTAAGCCACAGCGCTACCTCTAGTTTTCTGGTGGTTAATTGGAGATAAGAGTCTCATGGAGTTTCCTTCCCAGGCTGGCTTTGAACCTCAATCCTCAGATCACAGCCTCCTGAGTAGCTAGGATTACAGGTGTGAGCCACCAGTGCCCGGCCCTCCCTTAGCTTTTGTACTCAAGGCTAGTGCTTTACCACTTGACCCAGAGCTCTACTTCCAGCTTTTTTTTTTTTTTTGGGTCCGGTCATGGGGCCTGAACTCTGGGTCTGGGTGCTGTCCCTCAGCTCTTCAGCTCAAGGCTAGCGCTCTACCACCTGAGCCACGGCACCACTTCCGGTTTTTTTCTTTTTGCTTATGTGGTGCTGAGGAATCGAACCCAGGGCCTCATGCATGCAAGGCAAGCGCTCTACCACTGAGCCACCTTCCCAGCCCCTACTTCCAGCTTTTTTGATAGACTCTCTTTGAATTTTGATGATCAGATCTCAGCCTGCTAAGTAGTTAGAATTGATTACAGGTGTGAGCCACCAGTACCAAGCCATGATGCATTCTTTTTAAAATTGATTGACTCTGTTGTTATTCTAGAGGGATTACAATGGCGTGAGCCAGGTCATGAGTACATTTCCTTTCACACAGTCATCTGCTCCCTCACGCTCTCCCAGTCCCTTTCTCCCATCTCCACCCGCGAGTTGTATAGTTCACTTTCCTCATTGTCCAGTGAGCTCCACTGCTGCACTTTTTCACTCTTTTACCCTTGAGTTCTGTGACCTCTCCCCGCCCTTCCCAAAGACATACATAAGGTAAAGAAAACAAAATGGTCAAACACTAAAAACAAACAAACAGAAAAAAGAAGTCTCTTGTTTCCATATCATTTCAGTCTGCATATTGCTTTCTATGAATATGAAGAGCCACTTAGGCATTATGCCTTTGTGTTTCTCTCCCAAGAGTATCCTCTTTTGGAACCAGTCATTCTTGATGATTACACTGATTCTGAAAAAGAGGGAATTATTTACCTAATCATAATGGGAGGGCTAGGCAGAATCAGCCAGTCTAGTGTTCAGTGCTGGCTGCCAATCCTGCAGCGATCCAACCCCTTCCTCAGCGCCCCCATCACCTCCCGGTTTCTTAAGCTATAAATGAGGGGGTTGAGCATAGGAGTAAGGACCGTGTAGAAGATAGAGACCACCTTGTCATGGCTAGGAGCTCGGTATCGCCTGGGCCTTAAGTAGATAAACATGGCTGCCCCATAGAAGAAGGAGACGGCGGTCAGGTGGGAGGAGCAGGTGGCCAGGGCCTTCTTGCGGGACTGAGCAGAGTTCATGCGGAGCACAGCCCCCAGGATGCGAGCATAGGAGGCCACGATGATGGAGAAGGGAAGGAGCAGCATGAAGATGCAGCAAACGAATATCACCTTCTCAAACAGGGATGTGTCCACACAGGCCAGCTTCAACAAGGAGAGCATCTCACAGAAGAAGTGGTTTACCACCCTCACTCCACAGTAGGGAAAGGTCATTACTACCGCCATTTGGACCAAGCCATCTATGACTCCAAAAGCCCAGGAGCTCCCAACTATCTGCAGACACACCTTCTGATTCATGAGGATGGGATCATGAAGGGGATAGCTAATGGCCACATAACGATCAAAAGCCATGAGTCCCAGCAAGAGACCCTCAGATCCCCCGACGCACACAAACAGGCCAATTTGGATGCCACAGCCCACAAAGGAGATGGACTTCCTGCCAGACAGGAAGTTGACCGCCATCTTTGGCACATTGGTGCAGACCAACATGAGGTCCATGAGGGAGAGCTGACTGAGGAAGAAGTACATGGGGGTATGAAGTCGAGGGTCAATGTAGATGAGGAAGATGAGGAGAATATTCCCCCAGAGGGCCACTGTGAAGACTACCATGACCACAGAGAAAAGGATAATATCAGTGGGGCTGTGGGAGAAGATTCCCAAGAGGATAAAATCATCTGTAGAGGACTGGTTCCACCATGTCTCCATGCTCAGTTGTTCTTAGTCACCTGAACAGATGGACAGAATATGGATTAACTAAACTTTTCTTCCTTCCTTCCTCCCTCCCTCCCTCCCTGTCTCCTTTCCTTCCTTCCTTTCCTTCCTTCCTTCCTTCCTTCCTTCCTTCCTTCCTTCCTTCCTTCCTTCCTTCCTCCCTCCCTCCCTCCCTCCTCTTTCTTCTTTCCTTCCTTCCTTCCTTCCTTCCCTCCTTCCTTCCTTCCCTCTCTTTCTTTCTTTCTTTCTTGGCTATAATCCAGTGCTTCTTACATGCTAGATAAGGATTCTACCACTGGGCCACTCCTAGAGAGCACCCAGAAGTATGGTCTTACCTTAACATGGACAAAACCAATTTACCCAGTTGTGATACTGAAGGAGTTTTCTACAGAAACAAGCCACTCTGCCCACAGCCTTCAGGTACTACCCTTGCTCTATCTGCTACAGGGATTGACCAACTAACAGAACAAAACCTTGTTCTCCTTGGCTAAAGAACCCTCCCCTCCCCGCCCTAAGAGACAAAACTACTCCCTTTCAGGCACCTTCAGAGGGCTTTTCTGTCTCGATCACTGTCTCTCTTTTCCTGTCTAACTTGCTCCATACTGTTCTCTCTCATCAGAAACACAGTTCACTTATACATACACAAGTGACTGTTTCTAGAGCTGTACAACTTGGGGAGCGTATTGGGTGGAGGGAAAGTGAGAGAAAAATGAGGGAGAGGGTAACAAGAAATGTACTCATTACCTTACCTAAGTAACTGTAACCCTCTCCGCTCATGTATACATCTTATTATCTGGAAGTCCGCAGGCTTCTGCATCATCGCCATTCTTGACACCTTTCAACCCCTCCAGCCCTCCACCTGGAATCACCGTGGCCATTGTCCTCCCCTGGTTGTTGATAATGGCCCCATAACTGGAACTTACCTCCTGAATTCTTTCCTGACCCTCAGTCTATTGAGAAAATAGTGTCTTCTGAATGAAAGCAGGACTTTGATCAGTACGTCTTCCATGACCACCCGGACCTCCTTTCCTTCTGCTCTTCCCAGAATTCCTTCCATTCCAACATCACTGTCCACTTTGTGGTCCCTTGCTCACCGCAAGCTCACACTGACCAGAAAGGCTCTTAGTGCTCACTGTTATTCCACACAGAAGACTTTTCCTACCTTGTTCGCTCACCTCCTCCTCACCTTCTCAGTGAGCTCGCCATTAACACCATAGAGTTGAAATCCTTCTCTCTCTCCTCCAATTCCTCTCCTGCTTTTTGCCTTCCAGAGGAAGAAACATCACTGCATGCTACGTTTATTCCTATGGCTCTGTTTTTCGTTTCCTGCTTTCCTAACTAGAACCTATGTTCCCTTGGGCCTACTTTTGGTCATGAATTGTGCCTGGCATGATTGTAGTCTCACCTCAGGAAATCTGTGTTGGATGAATAATAATTGGATTATATAAAACCACATTGAGAAAGCCTTGCTGCATCTTGCACGTCCCCCCACCTCACCCCCACGTCTCACTTTAGTTCTTTCAATCAAGTGTTTGATGGCTCCCTTTCTCTTCCTTGACATAACACAATAGTAGTCATCATTTTTCTACAGTATGTTTGGGGGGAATGAGATGACCCCATGCTCTTTATCAGTCCCCAATTGTTTTCCTGTGCTCTTACCTCTTCTGTCCTCACACTTTGTCTTCTTGTGGATTACTGTTGAACTGAAGGACTCATGGTAGAGACCAAGCCCGGCTGAGGGATGGAAGGAAGGAAAGACCGAAGGAAGAAAAGGAGGAAGGTGATAACAGAGATTGCAGAGGGACAACAGTATATGAACAATACCCCTAGCGCACCTGCTCCCAACAAAACAAGAAGGGAAAACACAAACAAAACCTTGACACAGGCACACAATAGGAGGAAGAGCTTCTGTAAAAATAGAAGTGGGAAAATGGACCAACGACCAGTCTTAGGAACTGCCGAGAGAAGAAGAGGACAGCGGCAGGAAAAAGATACTTGCTTTTGGGTGGATGCCTTCAGGAAATAGTTCTGCCTAGATATTCTGTGGAGAAATGTCTACTAGCAGAAGAATTTCATCATCCTCTTCCTGTGTTTGTACTGACTTGGTGAGAGGGGACAGGAAGTAGCCGCGCTCCACAGTTCTGATCGCCTTCCTTACCCCCACCTTCCCGACCAATCTCTCAGCCACGTTCCCTTGTCACCCTGGAAACTCTCTTAACTGTAGGCTTCAGATAGACAACAGCCCATTCTCACAATGGAAAAGTCAAAGAAATGGCCAATATTTTAAATGAAAGGCATACCAATTGCTTCCATCTGATCATTATATATTGCACAGCCATGAGATGACCATACTCTCCCCCTCCAGGTGTGTAATTGTTATGTATCAATTAAAAAAAAGAGATGCAGTGGTGAGAACCAACATCTGTGCACCTGCTCATCACTTCTTGATCTACACCACTATAATACACCTTCCTCTTACCTGAGCTGCAGAACTCTCTCCCTCTTCCACTGCCCGCACACAAGAGACTGAGCGAGGAAAGTAAAGCCGGTGACTCCCAAGAGAGCACACGAATGCCCACCCCAGAAACAGCTCCCAAGCTTATAATTAAAGGGATGTAAAGTAGGATCTTGGGGATAAGACCAGGAGAAGGCCCAGTGGGGACAGTGTGGGGAAATCTCTAACAATAGAGTTCTCTACTATTATTAACAAAAAAGAACATGAAGCATTTCTACCTTCTGTATTGGAGTGATCCTAAAGATACGAGTGAATAAAAGCCAGGTGCAAAAGTTGTGTATGTAGTATGCTTTGCCTCATGGAAGAAAGAACATTTTTTATACATATCTGTTTATATTTTAGAATCAAAATGAGATAATAAAAATAAGTATGCATAAAGGAAGGGTCACAATATGAAGGGACAGAGATTAAAAGTAGGTGTATTTATTGGTGGATGTATCCCAATGAAACTCTTTTTTTCTTTTTGCCAATCCTGAGGCTTGAACTCAGGGCCTGGGTACTGTACTTGAGTTTCTTTTGCTCAAGGCTAGCACTCTACCACTTGAAGCACAGTACCACTTCCAGCTTTTTCTGAGTAGTTTATTGTAGATAAGAGTCTCACAAACTTCCCTGTCCTTCATTGGCTTTGAACCATGATCCTTAGATGTCAGCCTCCTGAGTAGCTAGGATTACAGGGATGAGCCACCAGTACCCATCCCCAATGAAACTCTTTTGCACAATTAAAACACATTAAATGCAAAAAGTTAGGTGTGTTGAGTACATTCAACAGTTTGAGCTTCAAATCTTGTATGCAGTTAAAAATCACAATTAAAAGAACAATTTCCAAGCCAAGAACCAGTGGCTTATGCCTGTAATTCAAGATAGTCAGGAGACTGATATCTGAGGATCATGGTTCAAAGCCAGCCTGAGAAGGGAGGTCCCTGACACTCTTATCTCCATTTAGCCACCAAAAGGCCAGAAGTGGTGCTGTGGCTTAAATGGTATAACACTAGCTTTGAGCATAAAAGGTCAGCGAAAGTGCCCAGGCTCTGAGTTCAAGTCCCAGGACCGGAACAAGCAAAAGAAATAAAGAACAATTTGTAACCAACAAGATGCAGGAGTACCTTTGAGAAAGAAAGCAATTAGTGAGGATACATAAAATACAGACACAGCTTTTGTGTGGATCTTATTGGCGGTGGGTCCTCTTTCCTTTGTCCCCTGGGCTTGGGCTCCTGGTTCCTGGAAGTTTCTGAGCTTCTGTGTTGAGTCACGTTAGTTCTTGGAGTGGCAATACGAGCCAGTAAGAGGCTGTGACTGAGTGTCTTGGCCCAGCTGGGGTCCTTGATGGGGTGTAGTGTGTGTGTTTCTGGCTCCTTCAGCCCTAATGTAGGGTCAGCTGGGCTGATGCTGCTCACGCTCCTACCAAAACAGACCTGGGCACCAGACTGGGCACTGGCGATCACACCTGTAATCCTAGCTACTCAGAGGGCTGAGATCTGAGGATGGTGGTTCTAAGTCAGACTTGCTAGTGAGACTTTTTTTTTTTTTTGTCAGTTGTGGGACCTGAACTCTGGGCCTGGGCGCGTCCCTTAGCTCCTCAGCTCAAGGTGAGCGCTCTACCACTTGAGCCACGGTGTCACTTCTGGTTTTCTGGTGGTTTATTGGAGATAAGAGTCTCACAGACTTTCCTGCCCGGGCTGGCTTTGAACCATGATCCTCAGATCTCAGCCTCCTGAGTAGCTAGGATTACAGGCGTGAGTCACCAGATGTCCAGTTTTGTGAGACTCTTTCTCTCCAATTAACCATCAGAAGTTAGAAGTGGAGCTGTGAACACTAGCCCTGGCCAAAAGAAGCTCAGGAACAGTTCCAGGCCCTGAGTTCAAGCCCCAGAAACTGCAGGGGAGAAGAAAAACAAAGAAAAAAAGAAACTAAATAATGGAACGAAGCAAGAAGAATCACATTCAACAAACTTCTGGATACTTGTGGAGTCTAAAACATCTGTTGCTACTCTGAAGGAGAGAAAAAATACAGATATTTTCACGTCAGCAGTCTTTTATGAAAAAAAGAAAACATGAACGAAAGCTTAGACTGAAAATAAAAAAACTGAATCCAGAATTCAATGGATGGGTTTAGTTTGGTTGAGGCAAAGATGAAGAGGAGATTGATGACAATGAAAAAGATGATCAGCTGGGTGCTCGGGGCTCACGCCTGTAATCCTAGCTACTCAGGAGACTGAGATCTGAGGATCGTGGTTCAAAGCCAGCCCCGGCAGGAAAAGTCTATGAGATTCTTATTGCCAATAAACCAGTAGAAAACCAGAAGTGACGCTGTGGCTCAAATGGTAGAGTGCTAGCTTTGAGTTGAGGAGCTGAGGGACAGTGCCCAGGCCCAGAGTTCAAGCCCCATGACTGACAAAAAAAGGAAAAAAAAAAAGAGAAAAAGATGATCAAAGATGAAGAGGAGATGAAGGCTACTGCTCTACTACTTGAGCCAAAGGCTC